AATAACTAAAAAACAAATATTATAGAAACAATATTATAGAAACAAAATAAATCAAATAATACCAAATATAAATAATTTCCAATGTAAAATATTAATATAAATTCTCAATCTAATATTTATTAAAATCTTTTTTACATATGTATTTTTATGAGTCCTATTATTATAATTTATATAATTATAATACATATTTTTAATTAATATTTAAATAACAGTCTTACCTGTAATCTTAGATCTAATTTTAAATTTCCATTTACTACTATAGCTGTTAATAAACTTTGCAATAATAATGCAAAAAAGGTATTCACACCAAATATTAAACCATAACTATCTTCTGATATACATTTTGCAACTTCAAAACTACAAATTGTACATATAAAATTATAATGTGATTAATTATTTTTAATAAATAATTTTATATGAAACTAAACCTTGCAATGGTAACCATTATATGATAAATGTTTCCAAATATTATGTACGCAGCATATAATAACCAAATATTGTAATTAAATGAAGATAGCACTAACAAACTACCTTCCACAAATGACATAAATGATACTAATACATCTCCAATTAAAGACCAATTTAATGGCATCTTTCCAATACAGAAAACAGTGATTGTACCTAATTTATAAAAATAAGAATATTATAATTCTTATTATATAAACTTAATTATCTAATATATAATTATTATATTAAAATTGTATAAATATATAAAATGTTTAGATGATAAAAAATTTATTTAAAAAAATTACAACTATATTGAATCTTATTTGTATAATTTAAAGTAGCATATTATTATTATTGTTATTTGTTATTCATTATATTATTTTACTTTATCTTTAATCTAATGAATTATATAAATTTATTTGTTCACCTATAATTGTATATAAGAAATCTATAGCTCCATTATAAATTTTATCTTTAGGTAATACTGCAGTTTTCCATAATAATTGTATGTAACTAATAACTTGTAAGTATCCACAAGTAGAAAATGACCACCATATCGACCATTTTATTACATGGCTATTTGAATATGCTCCTAAAAAATCTTTCCATAATAAAATATAAGCTTTTTTAACTTTATATATCAATGAAATATTTATTTTAGAAGAAGAATACTCCTTAGATTGTTCAGATCTTTGAAATATTTGATTAACATTATTTTGTTGCAGTATAATTTCTTCCTTATGCGTTAAAGAAATATGATTATCATTTTTTCTATGAAAATAAATGGATTGAGGAACTGAAGGTAAAAAAAATGCCCACAATGTTGCAAATATAAGAACTGAAAAATATAAATTCATTTGATGAATTCAAAATTTAATTCAATAAATTATAATTTTTATTATTTTTAAATAGAAGATATATAATATTAAGTAAATAAAATAAAATTAAAAATAAAGTTAATTATATACATTCTTTGTAAATTATTTTTTTTAATTTTGTAAAATATTTAGCAAAAATAAAAGAATTTTTTTATTTAATTATTATAAATAAAGTTTAATATATATCATTTTTATTATTTTATATTAATATGAAAATTGTAATTTTAATTTCATTGGAAATTTAAATAAATGTACAAAAATAAGTACCTGCTAATGTAATGTAATTTAATTGATGATAATCTAATATATCAAAAGATACTGTTAATTGTGCAACAATACCAGCCATACAGCGACCAAATAATGATGCTGCTTTTGTATGACTAGTTACTTCTTGATAATGTTTTTTATCAACTTTAGCATAAATATATGTATAATATGCTACTTCTGTGGAAAAAAATAAGCCATAAAAAAATTCTAAAATTTGCATAGTTAAAACATCTTGTCCAAATATTATTAAAAGAAAAGTAATAGCTCCAGAAATACCACATAAGATAATAATAGGCTTATATCTTAGAAAATCTGTTATCAAAAATATAATAACTAATGTTGCAAAATATGAATATGTGGAAACAGGAAATATTTCTTGATTTACCTAAAAAATAATGATAATTTTAATCTTAATCTTAATTTTAAAATTTTATCATAAATATGTTATATTATTTAATGATTATTAAAAATAAAAAAATTAATAATACATATAAAATTTATTTTATTTTTAAAATAAACAAACATATTTATTAATTTTTATAATTAAACATAATTATTACATATAACATATTTACTTGATCATCTGTAAAATTTTTCCATGGTCCTGTTAAATAATTAGTTACAAAAGACTCTGAAGGTCTGAACTCTTTAAAACAACCAAATATGCACAAAATACATGAAATTATTATCCACTTCATATTAATAACATATTTTTCTTTTTTGTTTTGATTTTATTTTTTGAAATATATTTGTCGTTTTCAATATTTTCTGTTTTTTCTTTCAACATATTTTTTTTATCACATGCTAATGAATTTATCATATATTATAATTTATTATTTTCAAATTATTTAAAATACACATATATTATTATATTATATAGAAATTATAAATATAATCATAATAAATAATTGATTTTATTATTTTTATATTTTCAAACTTTTAAAATATTTGTAATTTTGAATTATAATTTATTTTCTATCACATTAGAACTTTGATTTTATATTTATTTTCCTATAAAATTAATTTCATTAATACATTTACTATTATTTTTTAAAATTTAAATATAATACAATATTATAATTAATAAAATTTTATATAATTTTCTA